CGACTCGGTGGTGGTAGCATCCACACTGTCCTCAAGAGGCAGGTAGTCATCGCCAGGGTCTCCATCTCCAAAGCTAATGGTAGAGTTGGCGTCACTTGAACTGATGCGGCTCATAGTAGTGTCACTGTGTGCTGAACTGCGCTTACTAGAAATTGATGAGCGTGAATCAGATTTGCGTAGTCGCTGAAGGCTACCAAAAAAGGAGCCACGGCGAAAAAGACCCTTTCTCTTCTCTGAACCCTCTCCATCTGATTGGAAGTTGAGCACAAAACCACCACGTGTGCCAGCAGGGCTATCGGATAGGCTGTCACGCAGTACTGTACCATTACTCTGCTCACTGCGAAGTGAAGACAGCGAAGTTCGTAGAGGTGAGCGGATGACAGAAGCCATGCCATAAGGAACACTTTGACGTACTCCATAGCCGTGACGCATGCCACCACTCCACTGACCCTGATACGTGCCTACAGCAGTAGCAGAGAGACACACAGAGAGAAGACAGACTGTGAGTAAAGCATAAAAAATAAGCAGAGACAGAATAAAAAGCATATACAGAATAATGTAGAATACAAAGTGAGTGATAGAGGCTACCAAAGTAAATAAAAAAGATCAAGAATGCAAAGAAGACTGCAACTAGAGCTCCAACAATGAATCAATGAACCAACTACTTTATATAGTCGAATGAAAGTCATTTTAATCAACCTTTTGGCCATGCATCATTATAGCAAGACAAATATCGTACCACACCACATTACTTTATGACAGCGTAGGATACTAAGCTAAAAAAAACAAACAAAAACAAAATCACTGCAGAGGTAGAGTAAAAATATAATTTTATTTTATTAACAACTTAGGTGACATTCCTAGCCAACAGAAATGTTAGCAATGTGTCAGGAGACTGTACAAACGTCAACTGCCATAAACAGGCTGCCCATCTACAAAGTTGTTATCATATAATTGTGTAAGTGTATCGTATTATTAACTATATAAATTTAACAGATGTGGCTTCAAGCATGCATATCAGGAATGTGAATGATCAAAACACTGTGAGGCAGATCCTGTTTAAGTACAGGGTGGACCATTCTATATGGATACAGCCGTAACAACATGGGAATGGTTGGTGATATTAAAGTCCTGTTTGTGGCACATTAGTATATGTGAGGGGGCAAACTCCTCAAGATGGGTGGTGACCATGGTGGCCATTTACGAAGTCGGCCATCTTGGATACAACTTTTGTTTTTTCAATAGGAAGAGGGCCATGTGACACATCAGACTTATTGGTAATGTCACAAGAAAAAAAAACCACATGTGCTGTAAGTAACTTATCATTTCACTAACGCCCTATACAAGTTCTCATTTGTCCAACAGCCACACCAAACCGTAACCACCCGGAAGAGCGTCCAAAGAAATGTAACTGAACGCCAAAACCGGTACACTCCCTGACAGATTTCAAGCAAACGCAACCAGCCAAACACCTACGAACCAACCCATCACACACGACTCTACAGTCAGCAACGCCTAATCTAACACTGAGTCTTTATTGCCAAATGGATGAATGCACTAAGAAAATAGAGCTCATGAAGACCACAGGACACTCCCATGTCACACAAGTCGAACACCTGCGGATATTAGAAGCACCTCAACCCAGCCTGCACACTCAAGATGACCCACCCACAGTCGTGGCAAACAATTGGCGACTCAGTCACCAATTGTCGAAGAAACTTGTGAGTGAAGTAACAAAAAACCGCTGGCTGCAACAATGATGATTCCAAATTGGAAAATAGGTGTAAGGTTACGTTGAAACCAAGCACACCATTGTTTTTCTTGTGACATTACCAATAAGTTTGATGTGTCACATGGCCCTCTTCCTATTGAAAAAACAAAAGTTGTATCCAAGATGGCCGACTTCTAAATGGCCACCATGGTCACCACCCATCTTGAGGAGTTTGCCCCCTCACATATACTAATGTGCCACAAACAGGACTTTAATGATCACCAACCATTCCCATGTTATTACGTGTATCCATATGAAATGGCCCACCCTGTAGATTATTTAACAGTTTGCCTGGTAGAATCAAATGCCACCAGAGATGATATAAAAGATGACGGTAGCTAGTGAGCTACTGTGAGGTCATGCATTGGCTTCTGAAGTCCATTTTGAAGCCTTGGTTTAAAAAAAAAAAAAATACAATAAGACGTGATGAGGAGGGTCAAATATGATTGAAATGCACTCTCACTGGCTAACTACACGTGACTGACAGTTTCTCAGTGAATAGGCATCATACGGCTCTACTGTAACTTGGAAAGTAAACGAATATACAGGAAACAAAATAACACACTGACTAGACAGTTAATGAAGTTAAGCTAGCTGATGGACTGTAATGATGGTGGCTGGTGGCTAGATACAGAGCCGTGGTTTTGCTAATATAATCACAGTAGCACAGGGAAGATGTAAGAAGAGGGTTGGTTTGATCTCAATAAAAGGTCACGGCCTGGGGGATCAGCAGGGCGCTGATCAACTGTTTCTCTCTCGCTCTCCGGGGTGGAACTCATTCTCAACTCATCTTGTCCTCGGCCACGCCCCTCAGAGGAGGAAGCACCTGAGATTCATTAACGCAACCAGTATTTAAGCCAGGCGATGACTGCTGTTCTTCGCTGGATCGTTGTGTTTGACTCACGTTAGTGTTGTCAAGTTGCCAGCTAAGTTTCCCCTTTGTGTTTCTGAGCATTGAACTAACAAACATTTCCCTGTGTACAGACTCCCTTGACCTTTTCCCTGTTTCCTGTGTGGTGATAGTTGGAGAAAGAGAGCCTGATCATGTGTGTGGATTAATGGAAGAGGAGCGAGAGTCTGTTTCCCTGGATTTCCCTGGAGCCCCGTCCCCCCACTTTTGTACGTAGCACTATTTCTGCACATTTGTATATACATTCAGTGAACTGTGTAAATAAATTGCTTGTGAAGCTTCCTATCGCTGAGTTTTGCATGTGAGTTCTCACGACAAACCGTAACAGTAATGATCCAGCCAACCATGGACTCAGCAGACTCAACCCCCACCCTGCAGCCTGATCCTCGTGGTTTTGCTAATATAATCACAGTAGCACAGGGAAGATGTAAGAAGAGGGTTGGTTTGATCTCAATAAAAGGTCACGGCCTGGGGGATCAGCAGGGCGCTGATCAACTGTTTCTCTCTCGCTCTCCGGGGTGGAACTCATTCTCAACTCATCTTGTCCTCGGCCACGCCCCTCAGAGGAGGAAGCACCTGAGATTCATTAACGCAACCAGTATTTAAGCCAGGCGATGACTGCTGTTCTTCGCTGGATCGTTGTGTTTGACTCACGTTAGTGTTGTCAAGTTGCCAGCTAAGTTTCCCCTTTGATTACTCTGCTCACTGCGGAGTGAAGACAGCGAAGTTCGTAGAGGTGAGCGGATGACAGAAGCCATGCCATAAGGAACACTTTGACGTACTCCATAGCCGTGACGCATGCCACCACTCCACTGACCCTGATACGTGCCTACAGCAGTAGCAGAGAGACACACAGAGAGAAGACAGACTGTGAGTAAAGCATAAAAAATAAGCAGAGACAGAATAAAAAGCATATACAGAATAATGTAGAATACAAAGTGAGTGATAGAGGCTACCAAAGTAAATAAAAAAGATCAAGAATGCAAAGAAGACTGCAACTAGAGCTCCAACAATGAATCAATGAACCAACTACTTTATATAGTCGAATGAAAGTCATTTTAATCAACCTTTTGGCCATGCATCATTATAGCAAGACAAATATCGTACCACACCACATTACTTTATGACAGCGTAGGATACTAAGCTAAAAAAAACAAACAAAAACAAAATCACTGCAGAGGTAGAGTAAAAATATAATTTTATTTTATTAACAACTTAGGTGACATTCCTAGCCAACAGAAATGTTAGCAATGTGTCAGGAGACTGTACAAACGTCAACTGCCATAAACAGGCTGCCCATCTACAAAGTTGTTATCATATAATTGTGTAAGTGTATCAGTGATTATAACTATATCCAAAAGTGTTCAACAGATGTGCTTAAGCATGACATATCCAGGACACGTGTGAAGTGTAAAACACTGTGAGGCAGACTCCATGTTTAAGTAAAGGGTGGACCATTCATATGGATACAGCGTAACAACATGGGAATGGTTGGTGACATTAAAGTCCTGTTTGTGGCACATTAGTATATGTGAGGGGGCAAACTCCTCAAGATGGGTGGTGACCATGGTGGCCATTTACAAGTCGGCCATCTTGGATACAACTTTTGTTTTTTCAATAGGAAGAGGGCCATGTGACACATCAGACTTATTGGTAATGTCACAAGAAAAACCAAACCCAAAACACGCAACCACAGCAAAAACACAACACTAACGCCCAACAACACACCAACACCACACCAAACCAACCACCCCAACAGCTCCAAAAAAAAACGAACCACACAAAACCACACCCAACTCCCCTGACGACACCACAAAGCCCGCAACCAGCCAAAAACACCTACGAACCAACCCACGACACAACGGACCCACCACAGAACAAGCACAAAACAGACAGCCTTGCCAAAAAAACCATAAAAACAACACAAACCAGCGATGAACACCAACCCACATGAGACCCCCACCCAACTTGCACCACCCAAAAACTCGTGAAAAAAGAATAAAGTTACGTTGAAACCAAGCACACCATTGTTTTTCTTGTGACATTACCAATAAGTTTGATGTGTCACATGGCCCTCTTCCTATTGAAAAAACAAAAGTTGTATCCAAGATGGCCGACTTCTAAATGGCCACCATGGTCACCACCCATCTTGAGGAGTTTGCCCCCTCACATATACTAATGTGCCACAAACAGGACTTTAATGTCACCAACCATTCCCATGTTATTACGCTGTATCCATATGAATGGCCAACCCTGTAGATTATTTAACAGTTTGCCTGGTAGAATCA